TGTGTTACCCCGTGACGTGTAGCCGTCACGGAAGTGGGATTCGAATTACTAACGACTCGTTTAGGCTGTTCAGAGTCCATTCTTTATTTTGGGAGACAATAACTTTATTTATCGTGCACTTTCGGCTTTACAACTTTGCTGACAGTTTACATTAACATACAGCTACATTACACGCTGCATGAAAGGCAATATTGGAAATGGCATAATAGGGGCACTTTAAAAATGTGTTAGTTTTCTTGTAAGGTGATATGAGATATTGCTGGCCCACTTTGGCTGAATGTGTTAGATAAAGTGGGCCGACCTTTAACCTTCAGTAATTATACCCAAATTCATTAAATAATGACATTCACTGGTTATTTTATGGTTGACATGTATAATCTACTTGTTTAGAAAACAGAAATGAGACTGCAGTCAGGAATTCAAGTCAGAGATGGAAGAAATGAAAGAGTCGAGGCATGTGAGGAAAAGCATGAGAGGAAAAAAATATAGATGCAGAATATAAAGCTTTAAAATATGGTTTCGAGAGCATAGACAGAAAAGACATTTTTACATATGGTTACCATTTTAAATGTTTCTCTTATAATTTTTTTTAGCCTATTCGTTGTTGCTTGTGTTGTAGTCACATCTTTAATATACCGTAGACTTCATTTTTGATCAATATTCTGATTTCTGAATATTCTGATACTGAGATTTCATCAAATTTAACGTCGGCACAATAGTTGTTTGGAATTTTACACACGAATTGAGATGTGGATTCACACAGGATTTATTTGACTCAAAACCTGTAGGTTATATATTTTTTGGGCTTGTTAAAGATGTTTGTCTGCTAATATGTGTTAATAAATCATGTGGTTTTAATTCAAATGCAGAATCATTTTTGATGGCCCACTTTACCTGAAAGGAAATTTGTCTGGAGTACATGACCTCAAAATATTTGTTGGTATATATTTTGCAAATATTACTTTATGTGAACCGTACTCAAACTGAAATATTACTGCTGGACCTTAAAGTTAACAAAAGTAATAAAGAAAACAAAAACATCTAGGTATCTAAATTACAGGTTTTACAAAAAGTGGCCCACTTTACCTGAGTTCACCCTACCTCATTTGACTGTCTTTGAACAATTTTGGCAAATACTTTAGCATCAGTGGTCTTTTTACAGTATAGCATGAAAGTATGGTCACTTTTAAGATTGTTCTGCTAATTTTCCTGGGCGAAAGGTTTTGGTTTAGGTGGTGTTATGAAGCCACAATTGGGTTCTCGGACCTTTTTAAAGCACTGGTCATTACATCCAGGTCAGGTTTTTACTTTTTTTCAGAATGTTGAAAATTGTGAAAAATTCTACATAAAGTCTTAGGATGCTCAAACAAATCCATACACTTGTACCCTTTCCATAAAATCATGTCGTCGTCATTAAACATAAAAAATGTCCATTGCATAAAAAATAAACACTTATAAAGAGCGCAGTTGTGTGATGAAAACGTCTCAGTCCTGAGGTTTCAGGAACACCTTTTTGGGTTGATCACCAACAACATTGCAGTTGACGTCCTCTTCACTCTTAGTAACTGTGGAGCGATTTCTTTTCTTGGCAAACTTTTTCCTCATGCTCTCAACCAAGCTTTCATATCTGAAGGAAAAGCAAATAACAGTCAACGTCTTTCGTTCCTGTACAATGCCATCACTTTGACATCACTTCCTCTCTCACCGTCTGGCCATCTCTTCATCTGTAATATCAGTTTCCATTCTGCTCACATCGTCCTCCTCTTCGTCCTCCTCTTCCTCTTTGTGCGTGTTCATTAGTAACATTAATTTCTACAAGAGATTCAGTTTGGTGGTAAATATGTTCAGTGCTCAAGGTTACAGAAATCATAACATTTATTTGATATTAATAATCACATAAAATGAGCATATACTTCAGATTCCAGGTCGCAGATCAAACTGTTCAAAATGAACACCATTTATAAGCAAGCATATAAATAAAATGAGTGTTTAAAATTCTTCTGGCTTAACTCCAATTCACATTTTCAAATCATGCTTAATTTAGAAAAATGCCAAATGGAAGCAAAGTTTACCTCAACTTCAGGATTGAAGCCTCTGAATGACATTCTGCCATAAACCAAATCCTCACAGGGAACGCAACTTCTCTCCTCAATGATATGGTTTCTAATAAAATTAAAAACTGCTAGTTATTTTTTTTAAATAAATAATGCATGACAAGATGGCATTAACACATCAAATATGTAGGATTATAGGGTATTTGGTTACTTAGAGGTCACGTATAATAACATCACTGCATTACAAACCAATAAATAAAAGTCGTCTGCAAACGGTTTCTCTTCAAGCCAATGGTTCTTAATTAGTTGATGTTTTGGTGATTTTTAGTGGATATAACTAAAAACTTGGCTTGCCGTGATAGACGGTGCTGACGTTGATACCGGTGTATCAATGAAAGCGAGGAAAAGAGGGAACGCCCCCGCGGTGATACCGGTATTACCGGTGTTGTCACACGTCGATTAACCGGTGGGAAAATTTCCTCACCGACACAACCCTACTAAAAACCGCAAAACATTAAAGAATTATACTTTTATTTTAAACATACTTTGCAAACTTAATTTTGTAAAACGCTGTCTTAATATTTATGGAAGCAGATTTCCACCATAAAAAGGTAAAACAATCATGCACCGGTAAATCAAAATTATAGCAAAAGTTAACAATAACATAAAAAGTCCAAATTATGACATACTAATCCACAATTATGAGATAAGAACTCTGACATGTCTCATAATTGACAAAATGTTAAAACAAAAAGTTTTTTTGTCATCCTATCCTAACAAACCACACATCAATGGAAAGCTTATATATTCAGCTTTCAGATGTTGTATAAAGGGTCAATTTTTTGAACTTGAGATTATGACTGGTTTTGTGGTCCAGGGTCACATATGTAAATCATAATTAACTTTTTGTTGGAGTTCTGTTTTTTTTTAACCTCATGTCCTAATTTTGACCTTTTCATCTCATAAAAATACCTTTTTTTGGGGTCATATTTATGATTTACCAAAGCATTTTTTTTTCTTATGTGTCAGAAAAGGGCTTCTATAGAAATGTGTCACACAAGGACATCTAGACATTAGCGTGGCTTGAGCCAGTCAGGTCTCACTCTTTGGCCTTGAGCTCAGGAAGGTCCAGGAACCAGTGCTCATCACTGATGATCCTCTTCTCCTCCTCATCCAGCTGCTTCTTCAGCTCTGCGTCCAGCCCTCTCTGCATGAACTACACACACACACACACACACACACACACACAGAGAGAGAGAAAGAAA